TACAGAACATGTCAGTGAGCAGGGATAAAGTGAACATTGTCATAAAGAAATGTAATATGCATACGGTGAAGTACCTGATTGTCTGGGCTTGGGGTCGACATCAGTCGCACATGCAGTGGTTGTAGAGCCGAATGCTGGGACGAGGGTGGATATAAAGTCCTTCAACTTTTTAAATTCATCTGACATGTGCTGCATGAGTTCGAGCTTCACAGTGCGGAGCCGCATTTCGAACAGAATTCTTTGATCTAGCAACATCCCCTGAACATCGTCTGCTGTGAGACTTGATGCAGCCGCTGCAGTAGGTCGTACATGAGAGGTGGACGGTGCCATGGGAGAAGTATCTCTATGCTGGTGGGGAGGGGAGTCCCCGTCTGTCCACTTCGTCCAACTCGATCACCATCACTATCCTCACTGTCGTCCTCCTCCGAGTCCCCACCTTCTTCCTCTCCGCTGTCATCGGCTCCTAACTCCTCCTCACCACTGGTCCCGCCACCGTCATGGGCCTCCGCAGAAGTATCACCCTCAGGGGTGCCCATACGTTCTGCTTGGAACTGCGGAGCAACACTGTCCCTAGCAAGGTCATCCAACGCGGGGACAAGATCATCATTGAGCAGCACAAGAGTGGCGATATGAGGTTGCCCACGCTCAGTCTCGGTGGGCCGCAGTGTCGCGTACACGTGTAGCTACAACATGAACATATTCGTTACGAAATAACCACATGCTACAATGACGACTGGAAGGTATGAGATCGTAGAAGTAACATAATTTTTTACCTGTACATTCTTGAAGAAAGCGTCGTACGTACGCTGCTGCGGCTGTTTTGTTGATGTCCAGCTGAGAAGCCGTGGGGAACGTTCCCGAAGACGCTCACCGAAGCGATCACCAATTTCAGGCACCGCCTCGAACGCCCATATCTGTTAGAGTAAAAAAGGAATGTCAGTTCAGAATGAAACAAACCACGAAATACATTTGCATTGAAATAATTTGTAGGTAAAATAAAGACACCTGTATGGCAATGGGAAAGCCGTGGACCGTGTAGCTAACCGCCTTCTCCTTCTTCTTCGACGCATCCAAAAATTTTCTTGCCCAACGGCCCCGAAAGCCCTTTATCAGACGTCCGTACGAGATTCTACCCCAAGGATACGAAAAGAACAAGTCTAGATCGTCGACGATCGACAACGTCTCCATATCGATACCAACGTTGTTATCCGGAGCATTGAAGACTCCTTCGATGATCAAAGCGAGGCCAAGCTTGTACCGATCGGCTCGAGGCGTTGACGGTCGAAGAAATGTCTGCTCGAGTTGGGCGCAAGAAATCTTGTCCACATGTTTAAAGTATTTGTCATTTAGTCTCCTCTTCTCAAGAACTCGGTCCATGACATTGTCATCCGGGAGAAGACCACACCTTAATCCAGTCACAATGGCATATTCTTGAATTCCGAACCTAGCAAGGTGGCCTTGCAAATTAAACCACAGTTCGTGCCGCTTCTTTGTTTGTATGCAGCAGAATACGAGTTGTTGGATTAATTGGGCAGAGAACTGGAGATCTGGAACCTCGGACAAGAACCCAAGGCATGAGTTGCGAAACTCTTCCCGCTGTCGCTCGTCAAAATGTTCCACGACTGTTTTTATATACCGCAGATTGCTTCTTTGCGATACGTGGCCTCGCAAGCGTGCATTCTCCGGGACAAGAGGCTCGAAATCCATTCTACAAAGACAAAATAAGAAAAAATTGCGTCAGACCACAATATAAACTTCCTCCCAGCATTGAAACGGAAGATATTCCCACATCAAACATGATTTCCACATCATAAATTGTTGCATGCAAAAAATAAAAGGAATACTTATATCTGAACGCATATCACATAGAAATATCATTTTCTACTGGTAGGCCCTAGGCAGGCAGGAACTGAACTGTCGGTCCCGACATTTTATCCGTCGACGGTTCATCTGTCGAGAATTACAGAGGATAAGTGTCGGGTACGACAGTTGAGAAACAACTATGTATAGATGAACTGTCGGGAAATCCTATTTTGAATATGTTTCCTGGTTATTAACATATTTTGATCATACAAAACAAAAAATAACTGCAACTACAAAGAAAAGACCAATCTTTGAACCAATGGAATGAG